TTTTTCATCAAATCTGGGAAGTTTCAACTACTATTCCTTTGAATCTGTTTCTATCATGTCTCTCTTGCCTCTGCTTCTAGTGCCCGATATATATATGTTGGTATCTTGGGCATCCCATATTTCTCTAAGGTTCTGTTTATGTTTCTTCATTTATTGATTTATTCTGTTCTTTGGATTATACATGTCCCATAGATTTATCTTCAAGTTTGCTGATTTTTCTTGGTTCATCTCAAATTTATTTTGTGGCTATCTAGTAAATTTTAAAAATTTTGTTTACAATAGTTTTCTACTTCAGAATTTCAATTTACTTCATTTAAAAATGTCTTGTTGTTTTTATTTTATTTTACTATAAAGATGTGGGTTAAAGTCAGTATTAAATACATAAGTAATGCATGTGCAGGTGAAATTTGGACCTCTGGTTTCACTTCCCCTGATTTAGGATCAGGTTCTCTTTGTGTTGTTAGAAAAGAACTTTTCTAAGTCTTTATGAATATTCTGTATTTTGTGAGTCATTGTTTTCATTATATTCCTTTAATTTTTGAAACATGGTTTTCTTTTGTCTTTTTCAAACATATTTATAATAGCTGCCTTGAAGTCTGTCTGCTAATCCAACATTTGGGTACCCCCAAAGGCATTCTGTATTGTTTGTCTTTTGTCCTGAAATGTGCCACATTTTCTCTGCATGTTTTATAGTTTGGGGGTTTTTATTTTTTGTGGGGTGGAGTACTGGACATGCTAAATAATAAGATGTATGAAATATTGAGATTTATCCCCCACCTGACTTGTTGTTGTTTGGTGACAAAACGGGGCTAATTTTGTGAAGTCTGTTCCCACTGAATTTATAATAATTATCATAATATTTTAACCAATGGACTTAGTATTGCATCTATGTATTTATACAAACCAAGTATAAATGGGCATTTACTCTATTAAATATGCTTGATATTTAATGCAAGTGAAATACATAGTAAATCACTTCATTGTATCTTTTTTTTTTTTTTTTTTTTTTTTTTTTTGAGTTGGAGTCTCACTCAGTCGCCCAGATTGGAGTGCAGTGGCTGCTCCCGGCCACCATAGCCTCAACCTGCTGGGCTCCGGCAATCCTTCCGCCTCAGCCTTCAAAGTAGCTGGAACTACAGGTGCGTGCTACCACGCCCGGCTAATTTTTTATTTATTGTAGAGTTGAGGTCTCGCCAAGTTGCCCAGCAGGTCTCGAACCCGGGGGCTCAGGCAATCCACTCACCTCAGCCTCCCAAGGTGCGGGATTACAGGCTGAACCACGGAGCCCGGCTATACTTCATTGTATCTTGATATGAGCTTATCAAAGGGATATAAAGTTGAACTGGCTCCTTGAAAGTCATTTGGCATTTTTAACAGTTTTAAATATACTTAAACCTTTAAACCATAATTCATCTTTTAGGACTATACCTGATATAATTACTCACAAATGCAAGTTCAAATTTGGGTATGAAACAGCAAAACTGCTATTTCTGAGTAATATATGTTTTACTCATACTTTGAATACTATGCAGCTTTTTACAGTTAGAGTCAATTATAATTTATTTTCAGATATATGCAAAATTGATAAATATATTATTTATGTGAATACATAGGATTGTGTATATCTGTTAATATACAAACATTATTGCTAATTATGGTTACTTCTGAAAAGGAATATAGATTTGCATTTTGGGGGCTTTTCACTGAGCACATGATCTATATGTAATTAATAAATGATAACTCAAAGAAATAGAAAAAAATTGGCATGTGTTTTGCTTTTTTCCTGATCTTTGATTTAGTGCAGAATGGCATAAGAAGTTATGCCTTGCCAGGCTCGGTTGCTCAGCCTGTAATCCCGTGCTTTGGGAGGCTGAGGTGAGTGGATTGCCTGAGCCCGCGGGTTTGAAACCCACCTGGGCAATTTGACATGACCTCATCTCTACAATAAAAAAAAAAAAAAAAAAAAAAAAATCAGCCAGGCATGGTAGCACGTGCCTGTAATTCCAGCTACACGAAAAACTGAGACAGAAGGATTGCCGGAGCCCAGTGGGTCGAGGCTGCAGTGACCGGGAGCAACCATGCACTCCAGTCTGTGGGACAGAGTGAGACTCCAACTCAAAAAAAAAAAAAAAAAAAAAAGTTATGCGTTAAACAATAGAATTAGAAAAGAATTTCATTGACCCTAAAAGTCAAATACATTATAAACTTTAATCCTTTATTTGGGAACTTCTGTTGCTGTGATATCAAGGAAAGTGACAATGATCCATCAAAGTTTATCTGATAAATATATAGAGAAAACCTTAAAATATAACCTTATGTTGTAGAGGGTTTGTGCCAGTTCTGATAATATGTATAAAAAGTTCTTTAAGAGTTGCTGTTCTTAGAAAAATGTGATTATGTTTGTCTGCTTGACAGTCATCAGTTTTGCTAAATTTTCTTATTAATTCTGCTATATTAGCCTAAAGTGCTTTTAGGAAGTCTAGAACACAAACATGTAATCTGTGAATAATGAAAGCTGCAGTTCTTTCTCTTTTTTTTGCGTTGGAGTCTCACTCTGTCACCCAGACTGTAGTGCAGTGGCCACTCGGGGCCACCACAGCCTCGCCTGCTGGGCTCCAGTGATCCTTCCGCCTCAGCCTTCCGAGTAGTTGGAAGTACCACGCCCGGCTGATTTTTTGATTTATTGTAGAGATGGGGTCTCGCTGCCCAGGCGGGTCTCGAACCCATGGGCTCAGGCAATCCATTCACCTCAGCCTCCCAAAGGCACGGGATTACAGGCTGAGCCACCGAGCCCGGGTAAGAAATGTTCTTATTCTTTGTAGGAGCTCCTTCTTTACACTGTCAGGTACCAGGGCTCTGCCTTTTGGGGTGATTTCAGCCACCAAGTCATCAACAGTAATGTGTTCTAGTCCTTTTTCTTTAATTACCTCTTTACAGTGTACCTTCAATTGATCCTTCCAGACACATTCAGTTAATTTAGGTCTCAGCAACTCTTTGAAGCATTCTCTTTTTCCAGTTTCTATCAATTTTTGGTTAATTGCTGCTCTCATCTGCGCATCTTTGTTCATCTTGCTAACCACACTCTTCGGCTGCCTGGACTTAGACCCTCAGTCGCTCGGGCACCTAAGCACAAAGAAAGCTCGAGATGTGTTTTCAAATGCCATTTGCTAGAATCTTGTTGAGAAATTTTACATCTATGTTCATAAGGGATATTGCCCTGTAGTTTTCTTTTTTTTGTTGGATCTTTACCTGGTTTGGGTAGCAATGTGATGTTAGCTTCGTAAAATGATTGGGGGAAAATTCCATCTTTCTCAATTGCCTGGAATACTTTCAATAGGATTGGTATCTGTTCTTCCTTGTACATTTTGTAGAATTCTGCTGGAAAGCCATCTGGTTCAGGGCTGTTTTTCGTAGATAGTTTTCTTATGACAGAGTCAATGGGTTGTTATTGGTCTATTTATTGTCTTAATGTCATCTTGTTTCAGCCTGGGAAGGTTGTGTGATCAGAAAGTCCTTCATTTCATTTAGGTTATCAAGTTTGTTTCTTATAGGTGTAGTTAGTAATCTCTGGTCATCTTTTGTATTTCTTCGGTTTTCAGTTGTGATTTGAACTTTTGTATTTCTGTTTGTTTTTATTTGGGCTTTTTCTTGGTCATTTTGGCTAGGATCTCATCTATCTTGTTAATTCTTTCAAAGAACCAGTTTTTTGTTTTGTTGATGTTTTCTGTGATATTCTTTGTCTTCTGTGTCCCGTATTTGGGCTTTTATTTTGGTGATTTGGATTCTTGTGCTAAAGTTGGGGTATTGGTGGTCTTCTCTTTCCAGCTTCCTTAGGTAATTAGTTAGGCTCTCAACTTGTGATCTTTCTATTTTCTTGATATGTGCTCGTAAAGATATAAATTCCCTCTTAGAACTGTTTTCATGGCATTCCAGAGGTTTTGGTAAGATGTTTCTTCATTTTCATTTGTTTCCAAGTATTACAGTGTAGTTTTAATTGCTTACTCCAGTGTAACTTTATTTATAACCCCCTTCTTCATGTTCCTATTGTCAAAAATATTAACGTTTGTTATTTTATAGGACCAAGATATAATTTTATAAATATGTTTAGTGCTGTTGTCTCTTAAACCAGTTATAGTAGGAAGGGAACATCAAGATACCATTATACTTTGTTTACTCTTTGCCCACATAATTACTTTTACTAGTACTCTCTATTTTTTGTAAATGCAAATTCTAATTACTGTCTGGAGTCTCTTTGAATATGTCATCCCACTGCATTCTGGCAGTGTGTCTTATGAAAACTCAGCAATTTGTCTTATTAGTGTACATGCTGATTCACTTCTCTTTTCCAGCTTTCAATATTTTCTCTTTTTCTTTAGCTGTCAACTTTTTGACTATGATGTCTCTTGATGTCGATTCCTGTACACTTATTCTCTTTGGAATTCATTGGGCTTCTTAGATACGTAGATTAGTGTTTTTCATCAAACCTGGGAGATTTTCAACTACTATTCCTTTTCATCTGTTTTCTATCTTGTTCTCTCTTGCCTCTCCTTCTGGTGTCCCTTTATATGTATGTATGTATGTTGGTATTCTTGGACAGCACACATTTCTCTAAGGTTCTGTTTATATTTCTTTTTTTCTGTTCTTTGGATTATATAATTCCCATTGATTTATCTTGAAGTTTGCTGATTTTTCTTCAGTCATCTCAAATTTATTATGTGACTATCTAGTAAGATTTTAAATTTTATTTACTATAGTTTTCTACTTCAGAATTTCATTTTACTTCTTTTAAAATATTATAAGTCTTTTATTTTATTTTAGTATAAAGATGCAGGATACAAGTCAGTATTAAGTACATAAGTAATGCATGTACAGAAAAATTTGGACCTCTAACTGGTCCTCACTTCCCCTGATTTAGAATCAGGTCCTCTTTGTGTTGTTAGAAAAAATACTTTTCTAAGTCTTTATGAATATTCTGTATTTTGTGGTTCATTGCTTTCATTTTATTCCTTTAATTTTTTTAAAATATGGCTTTCTTTTGTCTTTTCAAACATATTTATAATAACTCGTTTGAAGTCTGTCTGCTCATCTGACCTTTGGGTACCTCCAAAGGCATTCTGTATTGTTTTTCTTTTGTCCTGTATATGTGCCACATTTTTTTTACATGTTTTATAGTTTTGGGGTTTTTGTTTTTTGTTGGGTCAAGTACTGGACATGTTAAATAATAAGATGTATGAAATATTGAGATTTATCCCCCACCTGGCTTGTTGTTTGGTGACAAGACGGAGCTAATTTTGTGAAGTCTGTTTCCACTGAATTTATAATAATTATAATAATATTTTAACTAATGGACTTAGCATTGCACCTATGAGTATATACAAACAAGTATTAATTGGCAACTACTCTATTAAATATGCTTAATATTTAGTGCAAATTAAATATGTAATAAGTCACTTTATTGTATCTTGATATGAGCTTATCAAAGGAATATAAAATTGAACTGGCTCCTTGAAAGTCATTTGACATTTTTAGCAGTTTTAAATATATTTAAACCTTTACATGGTAATTTATCTTTTAGGACTGTATCTGACACGATTACTCACAAGTACAAGTTAAAATTCGGGTATGAAACAGCAAAACTACTATTTCTGAGTAATTTATGTCTTACTTGTACTTTGAATACTATGCAGATTTTGCAGTTAGAGCCAATTGTAATTTACTTTTAGATATGTGCAAAATTGATAAATATAATATTTATTTACGTATGTGTATATCTATCAACATACAAACTTTATTGCTAATTATGGTTACTTCTGAAAAGAAATATAGATTTGCATTTTGGGGGATTTTCACTGAGCACATGATCTATATGTAATTAATAGCTGGTAACTCAAAAAAATAGAAAAAAATTGGCATGTGCTTTGCTTTTTTCCTGTTTTTTGATTTAGTGCAGAACAACATAAGAAGTTATGCTTTAAAACAACAGAATTAGAAAAGAATTTCATTGACATTAAATGTCAAATATATTATAAACTTTAAGCCTTTTTTGAGAGCTTCTGTTGCTGTGATATCAAGGAAAGTGACGACAATGATCCATCAAAGTTTGATAAATATATAGAAAAAGTCTTAAAATATAATCTCATCTTGTAGGGGGTTTGTGCTATTTCTGACAATATGCATAGAAAGTTCATTGAGTTACTATTCTCAGAAAAATGTGTTTTTGTTTGTCTGTTTGACAGTCATCATGTCTATTTTGCTAAATTTTCTTATTAATTCTAATATGTTAGCCTACAGTGATTTTAGGTAGTCTAGGAAACAAATACGTAATCTGTGAATTGTGAATAATGAAAGTTGCAGTTCTTCCTTTTTAATTTATGGTTTTTAAAATTTTTTCTTGCATTATTGTTCTGGCTAGGACTGCCATGAAATGTTGAATAGAACTAGTGAAAGTAGATATCCTTGTATCCTTTCAGATTTCAGGGAGATGTTTTCAGTATTTCATCAAGTATGATATCTTCTGCGGCCTTCTGAGTTTTCTTTTTTAGTCTTAAGTGGGTGGCAAATTATGTCAAATAGTTTGTTCATATCTGTTGTAATAGTACATGATTTGCTTCTTTTTTTAAAAAAAAGTGGTTTGATATTAAAATGTTAAACCAACAAGAATTCATTCTTGAATTAGCCTTGATTTGTAAATTTTGTGTTTTATAGTTGATGCATCTTTTATTTTCTTTACCAAACATAAGGTGTTGTTTCTGTTATGCAGGATATAAACCTTTAATTTTACTTTCTTATAAAATCCTCATCAATTTGATATAAAGTTTATAAGGGTGTCCTATAACATTTGTTAAAGTGTTTTTTCTACTCTGTGGACGAGTTTTTGCAAGATTGGTATTATTTCTTACTCATTATATAAAAATGATTAAGAATTCAGGCACTAGGACATGGAATTCATTGTAGAGGGAATTTTCATTGTAGATACAGTTTGTTTGAACTATTGAGATTTCCTAAGCTTTAAAAAGTTATGTCATTTCATATAATTTCCAATATGGTAGCATAAATTTGTCTATAATATTATGTCTTTGTCTACAGGATCTGTAGTAATGATGTTTTTTACATTTCTGGTATTGGTAATGTGTTATCTTTTGTTTGTCTTGATAAATCTTGTAAGGGGTTTGTTAATTTTTTATTCTCAATATCACAAAGTTGGGATTTTTAATTTCATTGCAGTTCTTTTTTTCATTAACTGATCTTAATCTTATTGATTCATGTCTTTAATTTTTAGGGGTATATTATTTTTCTTTAATTTTTAAAATTTTTAAAAAATTTTTTATTTTAAAGATGAGGGTTATAATTCACGGTTAAGTATATAAATGTTCATCATGCAGCTACCCTTGTTGATGAGGTGTGCCCGCCCCCTTCTGGCAGTTTCCCACTACTGCCAATCCCACCCCTTCCACCCCAACAGGCAGTTTCCCACTAGTGCCAATCCCTTTTTTATAGTATTATGGTAATTGTTTTAGGTCTGCTCGTGAGTGAGAACATGGGGTACTCAGTTCTTTGTTTCTGTGTTAGATCACTGATTATTATAGACCCTAAGTCTATCCAAGTCGTTGCAAAGTTCATAATTTTGTCCTTTTTTATGGCTGTGTAATATTTCATTGTTTATATGTACCACATTTTTTTTATCCAATACTTTTTCAGTGGGCAGCATGGGTTGGTTCCATGTTTTTGCTATTG